GCAGTAGCTCTTGGCTCCTTAATACTCTTTTTGGAAAGAGAGACTTAACAGCTGCTGGGTTTAAATGTCCTATGTACAAGTCCCATAGGACTTATCTGTGCTTTCTATTTACATTTTTTTTTTCGTTTTTTTTTTTTTTTTTTCCTCCTACAGGAAACAAAACATGTAAGCAAATCAAGGATTTATTTTTGGCAAGACTAAAGACTTTTACCTTTGTGTTTGAAAAAAGAGATGTAAGTATATTACACATACACAAATAGCAGATGATCGTTCCTGTCTGGTTCAGCATTACTCACCTGTGACATCTCCTAAGAACACCATTGATATTTCTGAGACTTCCTTGGGCACTATTTCTCTTTGGTTCCGTTTAAATATGATGCGAGACATAGTTTACACAGTACTAATGCTGTTGTAGTCATGAAACGCCTGTATTAAAGTTTGTAGAGTAAATAACCTTTGGTATTCACAGGATTATTTTTACCTGAATTAAGAATAGCACATATAGTATAGCAAGGGTAATGGATTCAGTGAGAGCTTGTTCTTCTGCTCTTCCTTTCTTTCTTCTGCCCTACACCAAGGGGTATCAGTATCAAAATTAACATCCGTTTTATGTTTTAATGGATTCTTAGAAATTTTCTTTTAGTGGTTTGTTACGTTGTCTTTTAGAGAATCCTAGTATTTAATAAACACATTTTATATTTAATCTCTCTTCTCTCTTCCCCCCAAACCCCTCCAGGAGCCTTTATTTTTTTTTCTTTTTGACATTAATATTTCATGTCTCTGCTGTAATAATTATAACTGTTATAATTGTTCTTTTTTCATGTTTTATATTTCATAGTTATGCCTGCTTGCATTTTCCTTTTAAGAAAGAGGAAAAAAAACTGTTTATAAATTTTAGCTTGCCTTTCCAATATTGTTTTAACGTCTGTTGCACACCTCTGAGCTTGTTCAGTCGCTTTTTAAAAAACAGTGTTGAATATAGAATTTACTTCGCCCAGCAGATACCCAAACGTTTCTGAGAAGGGAATAATATCTGATGATGTTTTAAGAGAAATTCTGCATTTCATAGTGTGGTGCTTGAAGAAATTAAGAAAGCCAAGATCACGCCAGTCTTCAAAAAAGGCAAGAAGGAGGACCCAGGCAGCTACGGGCCAGGCAGCCTCACCTCTGTCCCCAGAAAAGTGATGGAACGGCTCATACTGGCCATTGTCTCCAGGCACATGAAGGACAAGAAGATGCTCAAGAGTAGTCAGAGTGGATTCACCAAGGGGAAATCATGCTTGACTAACCTGATAGCCTTCTATGACGGAATGACCAAGTATGGGATAGATGAGTGAACCGTGAGGTAGATTAGGAACTGGCTGGATGGCAGAGCCCAGAGGGTGGTGATCAGTGGTGCAGAGTCTAGTTGGAGGCCTGTAGCTAGCAGTGTCCCCCAGGGGTCAGTCCTCGTCCAGTCCTGTTCAATTTGTTCATCAATGAGCTGGGTGAAGGCACAGAGTGTTCCCTCAGCAAGTTTGCTGATGACGCCAAACTGGAAGGAGTAACCGATACCCCAGAGGGCTGTGCTGCCATCCAGAGGGACCTGGAGAGACTGGACAACTGGGCAGAGAGAAACCTCATGAAATTCAACAAGGCCAAGTGCAAGGTCTTGCACCTGGGGAGAAATAACCCCAGACACCAGTACAGTGTGGGGACTGACGTTCTGGAGAGCAACTCTGCAGAGAAAGACCTGGGTGTCATGGTGGACGACAAGTTGACCATGAGGCAGCAGTGTGCCCTTGTAGCCAAGAAGGCCAGAGGGACCTTGGGGTGCATTAAAGAGAGCGTCTCCAGCAGGTTGAGGGAGGTGATCCTGCCTCTCTACTCTGCCCTGGTGAGGCCGCATCTGGAGTATTGTGTCCAGTTCTGGGCTCCACAGTACAAGAGGGATGTGGAGCTGCTGGAGGGTCCAGCGCAGGGCTTCAAGTATGATCAAGGGCCTGGAACATCTGCCCTATGAGGAGAGGCTGAGGGAGCTGGACCTGTTCAGCCTGGAGAAGAGAAGGCTGAGAGGAGACCTGAGCAGTCTCTATAAGTACCTCAAGGGAGGCAGTGTGGAGGATGGTGCTGGCCTCTTTTCAGTGGTGGCCGCAGACAGAACTTGAGGAAATGGCCACAAACTGAAACACCAAAAGTTCCACAGGAACTTAAGGAAAAATTTTCTTAACAGTGAGGATGACAGAGCACTGGAACAGGTTGCCCAGAGAGGTTGTGGAGTCTCCTTCTCTGGAGATCTTCAAAACCCGCTTGGATGCAGTCCTGTGCCACGTGCTCTAGGTGACCCTGCCTGTGCAGGGTGGTCAGACTAGATGATCTCTAGAGGTCCCTTCCAACCTTAAGCATTCTGTGATTCTATGATTTCTCTTAGAGTCTGTGCGGCCTGTTCTCATGGCATCGGCTTTCTAGGTTTCTAGCTGTTCATCGTATTGTTTGGGTAAAATTCCTGTTTTTCTTTGTAAAGCTCAAACAGAAATGCTGTGATTGCTACTTCAATGCTGTGTTTTTTTAATGTATAGGTTTGGGCTACTCTTACTCAGTGGTATTAAAGGTTCTTGTATTAGACTTATGTGCATATTTTAGGACTGTATTTATTCTAAAGTGCTTTAGATTGGGGTTTTTCAAGCATCTATACAGAAAGAAGAGCGAGGAAAGTAATTTCAGCTGTTCTCACAAATAATTCTGCTATCTGGATCAAGCATGAGTTTAAGTAAATTCAGAAAAAAGTAAATGATATGAAGTAAATCATGTTATGTGAAGGACTTAATGAAACTAGGAATGCATTAATTGTTAATGTTGAAAATCCATTGCTAATATTTATTTTAATTAGGTAGAATCTGATGGTAAAGTAGTTGCATAAATATAATTATTTATATTCTTCCCTGCAACAGAGCTCTCTTAAAACTGAGAGAAGTACTCCTGTAACTTAAAGGCTTTCTGAATAAGGAAGAAGAAAAAATTAGGAACTCCCAAGCTGTTGCTAGAATTTCAAATCTAGGTTAAATTTTGCAATATTTACATAGTTGTCTAGTTTGTGTTTTGGATGCCACCTAATAGTTGGCAGTGCAAATATGTTGGCATTCTGAGTTGTTTGTGCATTGCTCTCCGCTTCAGCACTGGTGTTCTATAGTTTCCATTGATGTAGTATGTTATATTTTTGAGTACTATTTTGAAGTTATGAACGTTAACTTAATGCATGAATGTTTGGGCAGTAATAACATAGGATAACATTGGATATTTTTTTTTCCCTCCAAAAAAGAACACTTTTGTAGTGCCTGAATAGATACTTTGTTATTATACCACATATGGGTAATGGAAAATATTTTTATTTTATCTAATCTGATCTGTCCACTTACACTTTGACAGTGGTGATTTAATCTAAAATTACCAATATGATCTTGGAAATAACTTTGTTAAATGCTGTAAAATGTGTATCTGAGTTGCACATGGGCAATGCTTTTCCTCAGTGGGCATTAACTGAATGTGTCCACCTATAACTTGCTCTAATACTTTAATTCAGACATTTTCTCTAAATTTTTTCCCTTGCTAATAAAAGTTTCCCTGGTCTGTAGTCTACTTAAACTGAAGTCGATACAACTTTTCCAGACTTTTGTCATTTTCATAAACACCAATTTTTTTTTGGACCATCTTCCATTCATGTATTGGGAATAATTTTTTTCAGTATTTAATATTTACCCTTTCTTGGGCACCCGTGTGTAGCTTGAATTACCTTCATTAGCTAAGTAATCTTGCAGATTTGCAAAATGAACAGCAGTGTCTAACTAAAAATATATCCAAATGCCACAAGAGTCAGGGCTACAACTCAAAATGCTGATCAGATTTAAAAATCTGAATCAGTCACTCCATGAAAACTAAGGAAGAACTTCTGTGGTACAGAAAAATTTCCAGAAATGCACCACAGTCTTTTTCTGAGGTGCAATTTGTACTAATTTTGCCAGACAGCTGAGATGGGAAAAGCAGGAAACCTTTTTAGATTTTAATCACAGTGTTGATTTGGAAAAGCAGCTTAAAATACAAAAATATTTTCTAGTGTTAACTCGTGAACATAAATCTACAGAGTACATTGTATATGTTATATTCTGTTAAATTATATAAATGGATCAGATATTATGTTCGTTACTAATTAAGAAAATTCTTTTTTTTTTTTGAATCTGTTATTATGTCAGGAATCCTGCTACTCAGACTTTATTTACTTATCTTTTTTAATATCCAAGTGCCTGGGTTGCCTACTGTTCAGCACTGTTTCTTCAGGCACTGGGGACTTGATTGTTAAAACTTAATAGCAACAGGCAGCTTTTAAAGTGTCTCCTTATTTTCCTGTCCTTAAGAGCTTTTTCTACATTCTTATATGAAAAGTATCTCTGAGACTGGGCAGTGCTTATCTTTTCCCTTGAAGATTTTTGGAGTTCCATCCTAAAAATTTTTACTTATCCTGGTCACTAACTTGTCTTGGTCAGTAAAAAAACGAAAAGGGCACTTTGCTATCCTATCATCTATGCAAGTGTGTTCTTTGAAAGAAGAGACAGTCTCTGGACATAAGTAGTGGGTGGCAGGCAGACTCTCCAACCCAGACGGGGGTGTGATGGGGTTAGGCAGAACACACAAGCAAGGTAGGAAGCAGTTATATCAGAAGTTATTCACCTGCCATCTGACTGATGTACAGATACCTATGTCACTTTGTTTTTAGACTCCTAGTTGATCATGAAATCAATAGACCTCGCTTAGGAGCGTGGCCAATGCAATGTGCGAATTTTCCTGCAATGTTGTATTACTGCAGTGTTGTATTACTTCATGCAAGCTTTAAGACTTGGCTGCAATACCAACTTCTAGCTAGATCTGTAATTTAAAATTAACCCCACAGCTTCTGTTTGACACTTTTTTTTTTTTAGTTGATGTTTTATCAGTAATCTGTATATAACAGTTTAGGATGTGTTTTTTGTTTTTTTTTATATTTTAGTACCAGTTGAAAGATGGATGATGACGACTTTGGAGGATTTGAGGTATGTTACTTTGACTAAACCTCGAAATTTAACTATTATTAAAGAAAATGGTTTTGATTGTTCGTCTCAAGAAATTATTGCACCCTCCTATTATATCCTCAAAAATTTTGACACTCTTATGAATCAAACAGTTGTATACTTAACTAATTGGGATTAGTATCTTTTCTTAGATAAAACAAAGGGTGATAAATATCTTAGAGTCCTTCTTTAAGTGTTTAAGTATTAGAGTATCATAATTCTGTATTTTTTTAAAAATAGATTTTAGTACTACGCATAGCTGGCATTTGTCGAGTAATAAATATCCTATAAAGTTATCTTGCACATCTCTATGTATATCAGACATCTAGTCTCTAAATTTCTGTTGTGTCATTGCTCTGAAACTTAGTTGCACGGCTGTCTGTGAAAGTGCTTAGTACTATCATTCTAACTGGGGCCTTTCTTGTTTGGGCTCTGTAGATGAATACAGTTTAAACTTGACTTCTATCTCTCTGTACTATTCTGACAAATAAGATATGTATGGTCAATATAGTTAGATAAATAACTTTATATTTTAACTTACAGACATAGTAAATACACCACAATTGCTTTATTGCTTATAAAATACAATAAAATAATATATAATGGTATTTATAAGTAATATATATAAAATTACCCTTCTATTTTACATTGCAAAATATAGTTGAGGAGTTGGTAAATAAATATTTTGAAATGTTTGTTAAATAGACTTATAAAATGTTTTGTCAAACGTGCTATAAAATCGCTTTCCAATGTTTCTAGGCAGCAGAGTCCTATGAGAGTGGAAATGGTGAAACGCAGACTACATCCCCTGCTATTCCTTGGGCAGCATTTCCTACAGGTATGAATAATAACAATGCTAACAGTCTTTTCATGTGTTGCTGAAGAACAGTTTATCCAATTCAAAGGCTGACTGGCATCTCATGAGAAGAAGAAAAAGGAACCTTTTCAGTCAAAGGTTATTCCTATTCTTAAATATAGAGGGTCTGTTACAAATGGTGAGCCTTCTAAAGCAAGAATAGCTAGAATATGTTATGATCAAATCTGCTGTTATTTTGCAAAACCTAGCTAATTTTTAAAAAATGCACTATTTGTAGCTAAATAAAGGTGAATTATTACAGGGTGTTCTAGATGCATGTTTATTCTTTGCCTACCACCCAGACTGAATTTTGGAATGTCTGATGTGTTAGATTTTTTTTTTCTCTTGATTAAAAACATTGCTGTGCAAATTAACCATTATTACATTTTAAAGTTCCAATATACACAATCCTGAAGGAAAGGAAACGTAAAAGAGACTTTTAAATAGTTCTCAAAATCTCTCTATTAATTGCACTGTAAAGTCTATAGATATGCTGAACTTAGAAATGAATGTTGTCACTCTCTTTGGAAAATACAGAGAATCTTTTCCTTGCAATGGCACAGTCTAATACTTTCTATCTAATCTGGTACTTACAAGTTGTTCTGCTTTCAGACTTGTACACTTTTGTAAAACAAACTAAATTTTTACTGGTGATAGCCTCAGAATAAAAGACAAAAAGGAAGTAAATTGCTTAATGTTTGCTTACATTTAACATTTTCTAAACTATAAAAAAGTGTGCTTCACAAATTCTTAATGTTAAGTACTGTATAATTTAATAGCTGCATTGCACTTGTATACTCAGAATATCATGATGGGAAGTTAGAGTAGATTGATTGTGTGTGCACATTTATTTCTGAGCTTGCTTACAGGCAGTATCTTAGAGATATGGAGGGAATGTAAGCAGTGTTTGAAAGCAAGAGTACTGTTGGGGTGGGAAAGGCAATTAAATTCAATGTGTCATAGATCATAAATCTGTGATTTTTATATTAATACAAGCACATACACACATGTATTTAATCAAAATACAGGTAGATTGTAAACAGCTGTGAATAAAAATTCTAGTAATGTATACCAACTTGCATATGCGAGTTTAGCAATTTAGTCTGTAAAGATATTTACAACGTAAAGAAACTTATACCTTTGAATGTTACCATCAATTCCTGCATTTGAGAACTGTTGTGAGCAAATGTCCCTTTGTGAAGCAACAAACAGATTTGTATATGTATATTATGTTGCAGAATCTCTGGGACAGCAACTGAATAATATATGTATTCTGTATGTCAAAACATTTTCAAGTACTTCCTCCTGTCTTCGCACATGTCCCCAGATTACTATGGTCTTCTCCTATGATATCAGTAGGACAGTAGATTAAGAAACAAATTTGGTTTCTGGAAATTAGTTTCAATTTCTCAGATGACAAAAGAAAAAAAATCACTTTAGCAAGATTAGGCAGAATCGATTCTCTTCTATTTTTTAAAAAATATTTCAAGCACTGCTGCATTTCAGCTGTTATGATTTGTTTTATTGGTCATTGAAACAAACAAAACAAAACAAGGAAAGCATACTAGCATACTTTTAAGAAATATCTTTTTATTAATCATGTCATTTTAATGCTATCCAAGGTAGTTCCTTAGATTAATTAGGGTATTTGAATGTATTTAATTTTGCCAAATCAAATCTAATACATCTCTATTATTTATATATTATATACCAGATGGCAGTATGTAGCATTGAAATGTATTATGTGATTTGAAGATGACACTGAATTTTTCGGAGTAGATTACAGCAAGATATTTTAAGCATTTTAATCTTAAAAGAAAAACCCATGTATGTAGATAACATTACTAATTTAAACTTTTTGCATGCATGGGAATCTTGCTTTCAATAGAGTAACTTTCTAGAACCGGCATTATTTTACTGAGACTGATAAAAATGCTTGTTAGGCATTGACTTGCAAGTTAACACTTTTAAAGAGATAAATCACCGATTTGCATGCTCCATATTTTTTATACAACGTTGTCCTTTCCTAACTCTATAAAGTTATCGGTCATAAGTTTTGCTGAAAGAGTTTGAAATTGAAATGTATTATGGTGTTGTCAAGATGATTTTGATAAATTTGGGATGTGATTTTATTTTAAAAACCCAAGAATCACTGAACTTTATGAAGGAGATGTACGTTACAGATCTCATCAATTTCCTGTGTATCTGACATTCATTTGCTATGAAAAGGTATAAAGCTAAACATTGAAAGCAGTTTTATTTTTTCTTAGTGTGCAAGTTTAGCACATTGGATAATCATGTCTAGAAGAAGTTATAATTGATTTGTAATGCCCCAGTGTTGATTACAGTGAGTAATTTTGCCCTTCAAATTTCACTTGGGTTTCTCACTGTGTTTCTGTACATGGATTTCACTTTGTCAGTGGATTTACCATATGATAAAATAGATCTCCAAATGTTTGTTACTTGTGGGTACTGGTTCAGAAAAGGAGAAAAATATGAATTCTTACAAGAGGCAGGCAACTGAAAGAACGTGTATCTCTTTCCATGGTGGGGTTCTCTAGCAGTGAAGTCAAATAAGGTTCTTACTCTAAAGTGAGAACAGACTTTTGTCTCTCGTGGTTGTAACTTTCAGTCAAGTATCCATCATACTGGTGGTGTGTAAACATTAAGATAGCAAATGGGGACAGCGAGCTCCAGAGAGCAAAGTATGCAACATAAAAAGGAAGGAATGAGTAAGGAGTGAAAGAAAAAACTTTATTACCTTTGTGCAGTCTTATATATCTGATGATACTTAGAGGTGTCTGATACTTTTGTTAGCAAAGCTTGCAAAACAGCCAGCTGTACCAAGTCCGTTCCTTCTGGCTGTTCTAAGTGAAGTAGATGAAAGCAGTACTTCTAGTCTGGTGTTGTTGTACATGTTATAGATTCCCTTTCTCCTTTCTAGCCCTAATGTGGGGAAGTACTAAAAAGAATCTTTACGGCATGACCGATGTCTGGACTGTGGAGGAACATGAGGTATCGCTACTCAAAACGTCAGCATTTTCTTACCATGGATCATTAAAGTGTTTGTAAGGCTGAAAGAGGGATATCTCTAAAAACAATTCAGATTGAAATTAAATTGTGCTTTAGAAAGCTGAGACTTCATTAAAATGAAGTTTTAAATCTTATGTTTATAAGCAGTTAATACAATTGAAAAGAATTAAAAACACTTGGAACTCTAAAATAAGTTAGAGATGTTCTACTGCCTTATACCCAATGCTTCTGATTTTTAGTAGAGCTTCAAAGGGGCTGATTTTATTAAGTGTTACGACGTCCTGTCTTTGTCTTGGTTTTTTGTTGCAAGATGTTTTTTTTTATCATTTGAATTCATAAACTTTTTTTTTTTAACTGAAGAAATGGCAACAGTTAATGCTGTTCTGAAATTTAATTTATTAATATTAAGCATGAAGACATAATCTGTTCTCTCTACCGTAGTGGTAGAACTGCTAATATGTTTCTGCTGACTTTAAAGAGGTTTCTGGAGACAATTTGATACACTTTCTTATTTAAGAAAGTAATTCTCCAGAATTTTAAACCTTTTAATTGAAAAGCAAGACACATCAATGAAATAAATAATTATTCTTAATTTAATTTTGCTGTATTTCTTCTTCAGATACTTAGTAATAGAACTTCATTTCTATGCAATTTAATAAAACCAAATAGCTGTAGGGTTAATTTTTTTTGTAGTTGTGGTTTTCTGACATGCTAGAAATGACCACTTTGTGGTTTCCTTGCGTTTTTTTTTCCCTGAAAATAAGTGAAAACTAGTAATTTTTCTTGCACTTCTGTAGATACCAAGCTGGGTACCTTTATGTCTGTAAAGAGAAACTTGAAATTTAGCACTGTGCTTGCATGTCAACTGCTTTTGGTGTCGTCTCTGTGTTTCTAAGCTTACAAATAATTCGTCACTAATGGTGAATGGCAGCAACAAAATCTGTGTGTCTGCACAGTATGTCAAGTGTTTTGTTTAGCAGCATCTCTTTGATTCTAGGGGCGAATATATGGGAATAGAAAGCAAAAAAGAAAAGCATTGTGCATCCATCCTCACCAGAGAGAAACTGTTCTGACTTGGAGCCCAATGAATCTGGTCCTCTATAGATTCTGCCTGCTAAAATGAAGACACCCTTTAAAAAAAAAAAAAAAAAAAAAAGGGAGGGGTCAGATGATGCTTTTCCAGTGAATTCTAAGCTGTATGAATTCAAAACAGTTGCAAGAGTTAGTTGAGATGCAGTGGTGCTGGGTGCAGGTGACGTGGCTGTATTTATTTTCTTTAGCCTGGTTTCCTGAGGAGGTGAAGCTTATGCTATTGCTTTCAGTTCCTGTTCCTCCATTATAGGTTTTGTTGGCTAGTTTCAGCTAAACTTGGAAAGTGTCTAAATTACATTTCTCCAGGGTGTATGTATGTTGAGTGTTTTTTGTTTTTGTTTCTTTTTCCCCTAGTCAGCAAGTGGGTAATGATAGAGGTAATGCCTCACTAAATGAAAGGATGGTTGGATCTAGCCACCGTATGCTATGTCATATAAAAGATGCCTTGTCATTACACATGTTTGCAGGTTTACGAAAGCTATAGCACAAATGTTATAGCTATAACTTACTACCATAGGAGACGGAAGAACTACAAGAACACAACTGAATGGAGACCAGTACTAAAGTATAAAGATCTTAATATTGGTGTTTTATGTCTCATTTGCTTCATGGAAATCTAGTCAGTTCTTTTAACGAAGAGGAAAGCTCTTCAGCTGACCAAAACCTGCCTAAATTCAGCTTTTAGGGTGAGCTGAGTGGCTTTCTTGTGTCTGCCATTTGTACTGAATAGGTTTCTGCTATCTGGAACGAACACTTAGACATCTTAAGTTTGTACCTTAATGTGAAGCCCTATCACACTACCCAGTTCCATTAATTAGGCTGTTTACAGAGTACAACTTTTTTTCTAAGCTTGCTTT